AAACATGCAAGTTTAGAGGCTAATTGCGCGGTTTAGAAGTATTTCCTTATAATTTAAAACATATCTACACGTAGATCATGATGTTCTGTTAGAATCACTGAAAACTGTTTTCCAAAATTCGCAGCGGGTAGTGTACAGCATCGATTTCTGTGGAACCCAGTAGCTGTCAAAACTTTCACATTTTTACGAATAACTCGGAAATCGTAAATTTTTCAGGTAAAACGTTTGACACAAACTTAACTTAAATTTCGACGACAAATCTGAAAATGAATGAAAAAAGGGGCGGTTCCATTTAAAAAACCAAAGTTGGTAACTACCACACGTTTATGATACACCCCGTATATTGGAAAGTAATTTTANAATGTGGACCTTTTAAACGTGAAAAACTTTCGTTGGACGAATTTTCTTGTAAACTTCATATTTACTGAGATATCGCACTTTGACGCACTAATGAGCAACCCTGTATAAATGGAATAGATATAGACACCAAAGGATATCAACTTACATTACTTTTTTTAAAGTTTGGGAGCAGCACAAATTTCTATCCGGGTCTTAAATCATAATTTATTTTGCTGGACTTCTTATCAATATTGTTTATTAATATTATCATTATCTCTATATGCATAATTAATGCCAAGATTTTTGATATCATTTGATAAATTAGATAATAATATATTTAATAATTGATTTAAAGCAAACTTTGGAAACTAAATATAAAAGTGTGCAAAAACCAAAACTAATCCAAACAAATATGATCCAAATAGACTTAAACTAATCAAAGCTAACCATTCAAATCAATTTTCAAAGGTGAAGTTGAACTTACAGTGTTGACGGACCACGATGAACACAAAAGAACCAAACAAATGCAATCAAGCCGATAAACAAACAAACTAAGCAAGACCAACATAAACCTTGCAAATTAATTCTCACCTATTAATTTGAAACCGCGAAAAAATCCGTTCGAACAAAAACGAACTCAAACGAACGAATACAAGCGTAAACAAAAGCAATTGACCTCAATTTAAAAAGATTACAACAATCTCAAGTGGCTTTCAAAGCTTTTTTCCCTTTTTATTCCAACTTACTCCAAAGCAATTAAAATGACGAAAAACTATTTTTCTCTTACCAGGTTCTATGCAGATCTTCTTATCAACTATTCTTACCTTTTATCTAAATTGCTTAGAGAATCTAAATCCTGAGCACTCTGCCTACTTAATGGTACATTATTGTGTCTGCTGGTTTCCTCAAATTTCGATTTTTTTTGTACATAAATTTTGTCCGTTCTTCTGGGACTTCTCTTCATTTTTTCCGGTTTCGTCCCGAAATCTTCAGGGGCGTTTTCAAAAACGTCATCCTGAAGTTCTTCCAATGCTATTGTTACATCATTGTTCGGTTGGTGGTCCTCATCTCTATACAGGACAAAATTAAAAACGAGTGAATATAATAAATATATATAGATTTTTACCGATTTCTAGTTTTATGTTTTCTTTTAGTACTGTTTCCGGCTGCTCCCGGTGAAACTTCTCTTCGCTTCTTTTTGCTTTTCCGTTTGTCTTTGGGAATCATCATTTCTCTGCTGTCACCGATGCCAACTTCAGAATCACCGTATTTCTTTTTGCGAGATTTTGATTTTTTGCTGGAAGAATTCAATATTTCTTCCGGATCTCTCGAACTATACAGATCCTGGATCGCGTTGTGAGCGTTTCGTTCGTCCACGTCCATTTGCGAATATTCCTTCCGCTTTCTGTAATGTCGCTTTTCTTCTGGACTCAACAGTTCTAAATTGCCTATTAAAGAACCATACTTTATTCACATTTGGTACAGCTGATAGTGTTTTTCCTCAATTCGTTAGCAATTTATTCTGTTTTGCGTATCTAAAGTGGGTCTCTTACCGGATAGTTCTTCTGGAATTTTTTCGTCCTCGTAAAAGCTCAAACTTTGCGGTCTGGACTCGGTAAAATGGGAATGCTTATTAATATCTCTCTTCATTTCTGTTTCTATAAGGGATAATATTTTAGAGTTTATTTGTGTTTCTCCATCCACAGATATTTCTCTGCTTGGTGTATGCACGACTGTAATGTAAAGGAATACAATGGATAGTTATCCAGGTTATTCATTTACTTTTAAAGAATTATTTTTGTTTGGAGAGTGCGATTTATTCAGTGATGGTTGTGATTCAAAAGTTTTGATTAAATAGACACTTTACTCCCAAGTTTTGAATATTGAACTATTTACGCTAAAGTATACGGATCTGATATTTTCTAATCCATTTTATTTACTTTTACAATTTCTACCAATGGGTTCTTCTAATAGTTTTTTGTAAAAGTGACTGATGGGGTTTGGGTTTAAGGGTTTATTTATTAAGTAAAGCTAGTTACACCTCCGATAAAAATTTTTTGAATTACCAAATAATAAGAGCAAATAGTCTAATTTTCAACTGCAAAAATCTTTGAATCTGTGAAGTTTTTTCAAATTTCTGAACGCAAAACATTTTAACCACCACCCCCGATTTAGACTTTTGCGTAAATTATAGAAAACTTACCGCTATAATTTTCATTTTTATCACTTTTTGGCACATCCAGATTATCTTCCGAATTGGCGTAATCATTATCGGAACTTGTGGTAGATTTCGTTTGCTTATGCACTTGAGCCACAATATCTTGTTTCATCGTTTCGGCTCTTTGTTTGTGTCTTCTGGGTCGGGGTGAGAGCTTGATGGCGGTGCTCATGGTGGATTTTCCGCCTTGAGACCCCCACGCAAAATTATATTATTGATTTCCACCGGTTAAGGGTCACGACCTTACGTGACTCATTTAAAAATGTTTGTTGTAATTCACTTCTTTTTCTACTGTTTGTTTGTTGATGAATCGGTCACAGAGAGTTTAAACTCTGCCTGGTAAATAGAGGCCCAGTGATGAGAATTGTGAAGCAAAACAGAGCGACAAAAAAATTAGAGCTTGATGAGCGGAAACCTGAAATGCGCATGGATGTTCCACTTTCCAGTTACAGGGGTAAGAAACGTTCATTTTTAGTTAAAGGTCATTTGCAAAACCGACACTTGACCTTTTCAAGAAATATATTATTGTGCATGCTCTAAACTAGCAACGTGTTTATTCCCTGGCAAAATAAAACGAACTGAATAATTAAATTGGCAACAAATATATTTGGATTACATTTAGCTAAACTGGATAATGGCAATGAAATAAGTTGTCGAAGTACCGATTATTCCAAGTAAAACTGATGGCCTTATAATAAAATAATCAACTGCCGTAAAAACTAGACGGTTTTCTGACATGTAAGTGGTTAGAGCTAGAAGCTCCCTGTGCTCGTAGGATTCATAGGAAAACTTGTAGCGTAATCGGTAGCAGTCCTCCAAAAGATAGTCGGCTTTTTTTGATATAGCATAGCAGGTCATTGTGATAACACATGCTGGTACCTACAAAAAGAACCTTTTATTTAATATTAGATCGATACATTTTTGGAAGTTGTGCGCTTTTCTACTGTCTTCAAAATGTTAAATTTAGCTTAGTTCAGTTGCAACCCCCATTCACAAACTTATTTCAAAATAAATGCGATGCTAACAAATAGTGCACTGATCGGAAATTAAATGATGTATTCATGTAAAGTTTAGAAAGTAAAATTTAACTCCGATTGGATTATTATAATTGTAAGTACTTACCATTCCAAGAATGCTAAATCCCACTGATGTGGCCAAATGCTTCCAGTCAACAATAAGACTGTTAGCGAATTTGTCCGGATTCCACATTTGTATGGAAAGTGTGAAAAACCAAAGCAGCCTCACAGTTGAGTTTGCATATATTGTTAATAGTTTCAGTCCAAAATAGTCGTTTATCAGCACTTTCAACTTTATAGCTGATAGATAGAGACGTTTGGAATGTTTTATCGTAGTCAGAGAATGAAACTGGAACTTTTCCAGTTTCTTCAGATTGGTCTGCATTGCTGCCAATTTATCATTAATTTTCAGCAATAACACAATCATAATCACAATAGATAGATTTTCAAAATAGTAAGCCACTAGCGGAAACTTTATCATAAAATTCGTACAAGCTAAAAACAGTTCACTGTATTTTAAAAATTTTTGGAGCCTAACATGGCTTCGTGCTGATGTAAACGTGGCAATAATAAAAATATGAACAATTACAATATACAGCATCAGCACACTGATTAACTTTTTATATTTGCGTAAATTGCTTTTCATTCGAATCGCAGCATCTAAAAGCAATGTCCACTTTGACTGCCTGAAAAACACTGCCGGAATGAAGCTAATAGAGGAAAAAATTGCCGCGATATTTTTCAAAACGTCCACCAATAAATACATATTACCAAAGTCCGTATAAATATAGACAAGGCCAAAGTATGTGCCACTTAAGCCATAAAGGACAATAGCCACCATCAATGTTAAATTCTTTGTCAGCAATAGCAATTCTCGGGTACCATTTTTGTGATAATCCTTATAAGGCAAAATTCCCCAACATTGTAGAAGTTTGATGAATATATTGAGAAACGTTTCGAGAATTAAGTTGAACATCTTGAAGACAAAACGTGACTGATTGAGTGAGAGAAGGGCCAATCGGTTTAAACAATCGAAGTCGTAAATGGGTGTTAGATACAAACACCATTAGCCAGATTAACAGAAAACGGTTTCATGTCCGATTAATAAAACTGTTAATTATTAAATGGAAGTAAATAAGTGCACGTTGTTGTTTATACATAACTTTTGTTGATCTCTTTATGCGTATTGAAATCGTTTATTTTCGGACGGTTTTTAAAACCAATATGGCATATTCTTGTTTGAAACACGCAAAAATTTCTGGTAGATTCAAGATGTTGGTTGATACGTTTTAGTAATTGTTTAGTCAATTTAATACTCCCCAAAAGTTAGCATTTTAATGTTTTCTATCTATTTACATAAATCTTCAGTAGAATGTTCGCATCTCTAATGCGCTAAAATTGGGTATGTACCTAGATAATTTATTCTGTTGGTATTTAAATGTTTATTTTTTCTTCGTTTACAATAGAAAAGTAATTTGCTATTATTTTATCTGTTGAGCCATGATCCAAGATACAATCCAACTGTCCTGTTTGTATGTTTAAATTTTATAGATAGGTACGGATGATTGTAAATATTTCTAAATGCTCTAAATTATTCAGATCTACCTTTAAAAAATATCTGAACACTTAAGCAAGGAATGTTGCAAAAATGATGATATTAAAAAGCGTTTTCTGAATCTGAAAAAAGCTTGAGTGAGTTTTATCTTTGCAGAATCATATGCTTTATGATCTTTCCCATCGAGATCTTCAGTCTCATTGCATTCCACTTTGCAGAAGCAAACAATAAAATTATTGCTGCTTTTTGGAAAATAAAAATATAAAATGGAAAACAGCTGATTATTGCAAGGCGTAGAAACTGCATAAGCTTGAGAAAACCACAAAGAATAAAAGTTTAGTCCGGTCAACCAGCTTTAATAAGCACAGTGCTACAAGAAGCTTAAGAAGGTATTAGGAAAATAGATCGTTGCTGATGAGAGAACTCATATGATCATCTTTAGATTAAGTTTCTGAATTTCTGAATCTGATTCCATGGGGATAGAAGGATGTCGACCCAAAACTATAAATGTAAAAATGCCTGATTGAATTTGAATTGAATTTTTGCCTCACAAAATTAACACAGAGGAAAACAATTCCGTGTAACCAAAATGAAAAATCGAAATCCTCGTTTAAGGGTTCAATATCTGAAGAATTAATTTTCTATGTTGTAAATGTGTATATTTATTTGACTGAAAATTATATATTTAATTAAAGCTTAACCTGTCTGTGTGATGGAGCCCTTCTACATATTACCAATAATGTTAGACATTTTCTGAATGCAAATTTATGGTGGACAGAGCTGGTAGATCCACTCTCCGCCACCGCGATAACCGGATCTTATTCCCTTAGTTTTTTGCCTTTGGGGATGGAAACACATGAAATGTGTGTGAAAGTGGGCAAAAAATATTCTTTACTAGTTCGCATTTTTAATGCTGCAGCGTTCATTAGAGCTATTTGATTTATTTTATGCTATTTGTTAATAACTATTTGGTTTCTTTTGTTGCCTTTGTAATTCTTCTTGATCAGTTTTTGACAAAATTACAATTAATCAAATATTTTCAATACTTTTTGCTAATTTAATTCAATGCCCGTTTGGAATACTAGTTGGATATAAGATACCAATATGGCAAAAATATAACACATAATTACAATTTGCACAAATATTGAATATCACTTCAAATTTTCTTTATTATCTGCTTATCACAATTATATAATATTCACAAAAACTTTGACACCTCTTTCGACAGTTCCTTCTTATATTCTGCTTGCGTAATCTTGGATTGCTGAAAAAAATTAATTCCAAATACAAAATAACGAATACTGTCCAGTATTGCACCTTAAAGCGCAATGATCGTACTTTTCTTACATTAAATTCCGTAATATTTTTTACTTACTTTTAAAGAATCCTCCAGCTCGATGTTAAATAGCCTCACCAGTCCTCTAAGGTTGCGCCTGATAATTTTATTGAATTCATTTCTAGTGATTTTATAAGGCGCCATGGTCGTAGTCGCATTTACATCTTTAGACGTTGTAGCTTCTGTGACCTTTTTAATCGAATATACAACAAAAGCGAATAATAGTTCATCATTTTCAAATCAACTTCATTGCGTCTCGTATTTAAAGCATCAGAATTATTATAAATAATAATTGAGATAATAATGAGATTTGATGCAAAACACTTGTAAGAAATAAAGGTGAAGTGATTTGATGTTTTAAAATACCACACTTTATTTTTAACTGACGAAAAAGAAAATATTGCTACAGTTTAAAATTTTTTATTTGGTTAAGTTTATCCAATAATCCCCGGTTATTTGAGAGATACAATATGTTTGTTTGATATGATCAGAATATTCTCTGATAAAATAATAAATAATCGGTACAATACCATAACATTTTTTTCTTAAAATATATTTTTTTAAATATTGTTTTGATTTTTTTCTTAAAACAACGGTGCAATTGATAATAATTTGTCTTTGAAAAATTCACTATAGGTACGAGCATTTTTAGAGAAAGAATATTGCCCTTCGTCACATAGAAAATAAAATCTACAACTTCGATTAATATTGATATAATGTGATTCTGCGATTTAAACCAAATCTACTTACTGGTGCATTCTGCGCATTTTCCGGAAGAAAATTATCGTTAATCATGTCGTTCACTTTCCTAAAAGTATCCTTGGTGTCCGTGTATTGCTGAAAATCTCCATATATTTTAGATGATGTTAAGCAGATCAATGCATAATGCAGTGTAATTTAAAATTTCATTTCTCCATTCTCGTGGGGTTTTAATGACGTTTACTACTGTACCTCTCCTACTACCGAAAACAACGTTCGAAAAAATCCAGGTTTCTGTAGCGCTCTTTTGTTCCTAAATAGTTGCCGAATAATTTGTTCCTGATCCTCAATCTAAAAACGTAGAACAACGGCACTTTTTTATGGCAGTTTTTTTACAGGAATTTGCTTACTCTAAACACATTCTACTCATTGCGAACAGATTATGTTTTATAGAGCTATAAACCTTCCGATCAAGACGCTATAAAAATGCAAAATGCGACATACTTTTCTCGCTAAGCATTTGTGTTTGCACTACGAAGCAGACACAAATTTTGTCATAATTAAATCATTTTAGTAAATTTAATTTTGGCTAATGACAATGTTATACACATACACTAACCGGGTCTTAACCAGATGAGATAAAACTAATCGAGAATTATGTCTATAAAATATGGACAATTTCTTATGGAGCGCACTGGTGTAAATTTAATTATTTCATTATTATCATTCTGTTTGTAAATTATTCTGAAAAATGGGAAGAAAAAATGAAAAGCTAGTACATTATTAATTAGTAAAAAGTTAATTAATTTATTTTTAAAACTTTTTTGAGACCATTTAAAATTAATAAATAACAGAACTTAAATAAAAATTAGCAAAAAAAATTTGACTGAAATATTTATCAGCGCGCTAAAATCAATGAAACTATAAAAGTATAAAAGTTCCAGATTTATTCAAAGCGCCCAGTTATCGTGTATGGTAGAATTATGAAGTTTATAACAAACAGCTTCAGTTTAGAATTATTACTGAATAAGAAAACTTACCATATTTTCGTCTTCATTATGCAATGTTTTATCGTTTCCTTTTACATTAGATACAATATAAAATGATATAAGTAATAAAATGAAGCCGCTTCGCAGATTTTTTTGTGGCATGACCTGCAACAAATTTATAACGGTAACAAACTAAACATGTGGGTCTGTGTATTATGTAAATGTGTTAACACCTGTTACACTTTGCTTCATCGTTTTGGATATAAAAGTGTATTTTTTCAAATGTTTATAGACTTATTGTTGCTTTTTAATGTTACGCTAATGTCCATCTAACTTTTAAATGGAACACTGTTTATTCTATGGTAAAAAGCCACAAAATAATGAAATGGTGCTCTTCGAAATTCTTGCATTTTCTGCAGTTGTTGAATCAGCAACAAAAATATGCGATGGTTTTCTATTTAAGTTACCAACAAGCAGGCAAATGTTAAACCTGAACTTAAGCGCAAAATTATAATTTTGTACAATATTCCGATTTTCTGATATCCAAAAATGGTGATTTCACCTGTTAGCGTTACTTTTGCATAAAAAATCGTCACTTCAGACTTCACACACAAGTTAATTGTTTGAGAAAATCACAAAAATCTAAACACATTCTTGAATGATCAGAAAGAAAAACTTGCAATATAATAAATTACTGTTTATGAAAACTTTATGTTTTTAACAAACTCACTTAATAATAAAGTGGAAATATTGTGAAATAGTAATTTAATTTCCTATTGATCTAATTGGGGATTTGACCATTTTTTTCTATCGTTGAAGACGATCGAAGAAGGTATGAAATCGTTCGCAAATAAAAAAAATCCTGTAACTTTGCAAAATGTGTCATTACTATCTACATACTTACTTTGTACTAACTGTATTTTAATGTCTAATTTAATTCTTTAATTATAAAATAATTTAAAGAATGTCGCTTTAGCCTAATATAAGATAAATTAAAACTTGATAGAACTGTGAAACATTTTTAGATAGGGAATAAGTTCAACTTTGGGATCCAATTAAAAATTCAAGGCGTTTAATATAAAATTGCTGCAAACATGCAATATTATATAAAAACGATGATTATATAAACAATAATAAGACTAAAAATATATGAAGACATAACTAGTTTACTTACATCTCGACTAAATACACCTATAGAGCAAAATGGCGAATTAAAATACAAATTAAATTAAATTTCATATTACATCTAATAAATATTTGCAACAAATGTCGGATTCTTGAAACTTATGCAATTTGGGTTATCGAGTTTGGTACAGGTACGCAATCGCTTTCACTTACAAAATTACTTGTTCAAGGCAGTTTATTGACACCTTAACTTGCGCTTTTGTGCCCATTTACTATTTGGTAATCTATATTCATTAAAATTTGTCATTGCATATTTATGAACTAATAGTTTACCAAATATAAAATATTTTCCGGCTTATCGATTTCCGCAAACGTTCAACACTCGGTAATGTGAGCTTTTGCGACCTAATTTGAGTTCAAACTTCTCAGATTACTTCTTAGCAGACCATCGTTTACATAAAGTGAACATTTAAAAACTGAAATAATTAAAAAAGCATCTTATACTGATAAAAACACACCTTAAATCTTTGGTATTTCATGAACGTTCAGAGCGATAATTTCTTAGGCACATAATGTTCTAACTGGGATTTCCACTTCCGCCAACATTTTCAAAAGGAACATTTAAGACTTCACATGAATTTATATCTAATTTGGGTTCTCGCGATCTTCACATGCACCACACAAGTAATAAGTAAGTCGAAAGTTACTGTCTATGAACTATTCTAATAGTGGCGTGTAGGTCTATGAATTTATTTTCTCCTTCTTTGTTGGTATTATTGTATAATCAGTTTCGTTCTATATCAAAGCACGATATAACGTAATTAATGTGTTCTGGGTTTTTACTGTTCAGACATGAATTGGGGCTAGACGTTCTTGAACATTCCATTATGTAGCTCTCACTAACTAATTAGCATTATTCAGCTGATTTAAAGATTATATTTTTAATTATTTATCTAATTTATTTAATGGTCATTTTTTCCCAATTAGATCGTTGTATTTTACATTGGCTTGATTCTGTAATTTGTCTGCAGGATTCTTCAGAGATGTTAAAGTTGATACTTCAAGTTCAAGATTATTCTTTGATTTTTTCTATTTTAGTTCAATTTATGCATAATATTGATTGATTTTGAAGTAATTAAAGCTTCCCATTTCTAAACGCAGTTTTCAAATACTTTTTTCACATTTTTATACTTGTGCTGGAATTTAAATATCATATTTGCTAGATTGATTATTTCAAAAGCACATGCATATACCTACTTCATATCGATAAAACGGCCCGTTTTTTAAATATTCAGTGCTTATTTGCGCGTTGCGATTAATAACATTTAATATTTCTAATAGAAAATAAAAACGTTCGAAAAATATTTACACTGAATTTGCTTAAAGGAATAAAAAAATAAGTTTTTATTCAAATGGAGAATAATTTGCACATATATTTAAATAGCAAATTTTCATGTTTTTTTACATCTAATTTGTTACATTATTAAACTTTCTGTTTATGCAAATAAAAAGTTTTGCGCAATATTTTATAAAATTAATAAAACCATAAATTTCCAATTGAAAAAATCCACATGTATAATTTATGATTGATTCATTATAAGCGCGCATTTTACTCTTACCCCAAGGTATATTTTCAATAGAATAAACGTACACTTTTTAGCGAAAATAAAAATGACAGTTGCATACTGTAAGTGTTGAAAAGCAATTAATAATAGTTTATGAAGTTCAGAAGCTAAGTGTTAATTTTTGTTAAAAATCCACAATTAATTAAACACGCTTCATACAAGCTGAAAGCTGTAGTTTTTGTTTTATTGGTCAACTAATTTTATTTTAAACATTTAAACAATCTACTTAATTATTACAATCCCAAAAAAATACTTACAGTATAATTTCGTATATATAGAAGAACAAATTCTATAACCACGCACTCTTCCTACACACTATCTCATCATAAACATTTAGAAAGAAGGAAAATATTTCCCCCATACACTGTTATGTGAATTCAGTCAAGGTCGAGTATCTTTAACCGACTTTAAATCCTTATGTAATTTGCATGTATTAATGGCTACTACTAAATTCACTATCACTTCTTTACTTCGAACTGCTGAGCAAACTCAACTATTGTCAAGGTCGAAGAACAAGAACATGATTAACTGAACGGAAACATATTATTTTAACAGAATGCGCTTTAAATTATAAGCGATTTATTTCAGGGGGATTATTTTTGGGTTAATTGTTTGCTTTTTGATCAGATATTATCCATATACCAAATTTATCAGTCATTTAAAGATTAATTTCCACCATCATTTTCTTCATAAATTATTACGTTTTTCAATAAAATTATATTAAATGATACGGTAATAGCGACTCAAATAAAATACGTAGGAACGACAGTTTTTCTTTGAAAATCCATCATTTAATTATCCTATTATTTTGTATAATTTCATTATTTTGATCGTTGTAATTTTGACGCAAGTTTCTCCCTCAGTTCTGCAAGATCAGTTACGATCTCTTTTGGTTCAACTTTATTAATCTATTAACGATTTTGACTCCCTTTCAAAATGCCGTCCTTGCATCTGTTTAGCATACTAGTTTTCTCTGAAATACTAAATTTATATTTTTTTTTTCTGTCTTTCTTATGAATAGTTTGAGGAACGACGTCTATTTTGTTCGTTTTCGTATTGATAACAACATTATTTGTTTAACAATTAGATTCGCAATTTTTATTCTATGGGCGATTCTATGTTTGATTTTAAAGTTTAAGTGTTGGTTCATGTTCTGAACTAATATTTTAAATCAGCTTTGTTTGGAATGGAAAGAACAGGGTCAACGTTGCAGTTTCACTTTGGTAATAGGTTCCAAAATGCGGTTTCGTAAAAACATGTAATTTTTTAAATTTTTCATTAAAAATTCGCAATGATGATGGTTCAAATAGTAATCATAAATAATAATTCATAATATAAATTATAAATAATTTAAAAAAATATATAATTATTAACATTGGTAAACTAAAAATAATATACTCAAAAAACAAAATCAAAGCATGGGCATAAGTAACCACTTAAAGTAAAAAACATAATAAAATAGAATGGTTTAACGAAAATATACGCTTTGCATGCGAAAATGTTTAAAAATATAATTTTCTTTTAAAAATTAATTCACATTTAAGAATATTCTTTTGCGTATTCCTTTTACTTTGTCTAGTTCTTACACGTTTATGCTAGCTCCACGTGCAAATACTTACGCTTTTTTGTTATGAAACAAGTTTGTCAAAATGTTGAAAAATTGAATAATCTTCTTCTTGTCTATCTTTTAATTAAACTTTCTCTGATTAATGGGACACGACAGTTTTTATAATAGCATTTGAATTAGCAATTGAGAAGTAATGATGGGACAGAGGCTTTTTCAGGTTTATGAATCGGTCAAATTGGTAAAGTATAACTGCAGTTACAGGTTCCAGATCTGGAGCACTGTTAGTTTAGCGGTTTCGTTAAATATCGACCATCCTTAGTAAAAGTGCTCATATTTTTCAAGTTAACTAAGCAAACTAAAAAGTACAAAAAGTAATATACAATAAAAAGTTCTCACATACTTTTATCAAACTTCGCAGAAGAATAGCTTACATAATCTTTTGAAGCTCTAATAGATGTTCCTTCTGGTAATTTGTAAAAAAATCAATAAAAACTAATTTTTGGCCTGTCGCAATGTCGGGTTACTTTTTGGGCATATATTGGACTGTACTAACAATTTTTGAAAAAAAATTATTCTTCATGAAAATTCGTCGGGATACAATTTTCGGTCTGAGGCATTTCTACACCAGCAAATAATAATCAAAATAAAACAAATTCAAAAGTGATAAACAAATAATTACAAACAAATCTGTATTTTTATATACAAACCCCAAACAATTTTGTTCCATCAGATAAAAAATAAATAAAAATTTAAAAGTTTCTAAAAGGCATGCTCGAAATAAAACATCTCTGTACATATAATTAAATACTTAAGTATATTGAGTTATATACAAACATTATAAGCGAACATTACACAGTACATAAAATTGAATCCAGCCTAAGATGGATGTTAAAAAGTAAGCAAATTTTACAAAAGACGTAGAGAAAGATGCCTTATTAATAATTCTAATTATATTTAAGGACGAATATAATGTATCACTAATTCATACATACAAAGTTGTCAAGTGCCTATGAATTGAATATATTACAAGTTGGAAAAACCTAAATGGTTTGTGTATGTTTTATAATATTCTTCGTTAACAAGTAAGTGATTTTCTAATATACGAAATGTTGTAGAATGTGTAAAATGAGAATCAGTCAAATATTCCATGATTTTTTTTTAATTGACTGCGGATAAGTATACCTAAAGTTTGTGATGAGCAAAACTAAGTGAAAAGTGTGAAAAGGCACTTTCGTCTTTTCCTGTCTGGTAACGCAATAAAAAAAAGTGGAACTGGAATAAAATTGTGCCAAATTACAAAACATGTTTTTATACGATCAAAACATATAGAAAGTTTTATGAAGTCAATTTCAATCTATACTAATTCAAGAAGCCTTATTGAATAATTTTTTTATATATCACGAATATTATTTCAGTACACTATGTGATGTTATATGTTTGCATAACTACTTCATGAGCGTATTAAGGACTAAACTGTAATTGGCCTTTTACATAAAATTGGTAATTCGTAGTAGTAGTGTAGAAATATTCTAAGACTTTCTATTTAGAGTTGCGCTGCTTCTACTAAATGTGTCCCAAGTGTAGAAGTTAATCCATTGATCAACGTGTCTATAGAATCTAGCAAATCTTAATTAGACCTGATTTCATTGTTCATCTATTGCAGTTATTCGACATATGGCAGTTTTATTGGTCACTCTATAGATTACTACATTAAGGTCAGCATACTGGCGATTTTCTCTATCATTTTCTGAAATGATATATTTGTTAGTTTCAACGTTATTTCGATCTTTTTAATTGTACATACCCACTTATAGATAGACAATTTATTATTTTGTATTTATTTAAATGTTGCCAGTACTTTTTTTTAAATCACCTAAGATGACCACAGATGTATGTTTGAAGGCAAGAATCGTAGATAATTAATAACTGTTTAGAACTAATTAATTATTAGTGTTTTTTGTTCAAATAAATATGCGGAACACAAATTTAATAAAAATTACTTACTTATTTAGACAATTTTGTGAACGAAAATCAAAATACTTAAAAGCTCAAAGTTGCCTAAGAGATGAAATATGTAGGTATATTTAATATTACATATTTGTTTTAAGGATAATATAGATTTTATATTTGAATAAACTTTGTATTATGGCAGGAATACGTCGACGTATACATTACTTATTTCCACTTTCTCCCGTTAAATTAGTGTAATAATAAACATAGATTAACTGAAATTGCTTTTGCATATTTTGTAAAATAAAATTATGTAGTTTTGCGGGCAATTCAACCAAAAAATTAAGAAGTGGTGATCGCGAAATACATAATATATTTAAAATAATACATGCGAATAATTTTAAATACATGACAAAGCAAATCTTTTTTTTTAAGTTTAAAGACGAAAAGACGTAAATATTCAACATTTTTCTAAATTAGATTTACGATTCTAAAACAGAGACTATTAAGAACCTATAGTTTTATAGAGGATTCTTCAGAGCTAAAGTGATAAAAGTGCAGTGTAGGAAAATTTAAAAAACAATTTCAGTCACTTTCTTGAAAGCTTAAATACGCTTCAACCGACCCGGAGGAATTTTTTGACAAAGATTTATTTCTTAATAAATTATCGTATATTTGTTCCAACAGTGTACCCTTTGAACAAGCCAATAAAAGAATTTTTTATAGCATCAAAAGATGTTCTTCAGTTTTGTTTAAAACACTCCAATAAGCTCACTAAAAATGTACATTTTTCCGATATTTTAAAAGAAAAATATATTTTAAAACTCTGAACATCCGTTCTATATTAAGAAAAAACCGAACTCACTGAGAAACTAAAAATATCCAATTTTACATGCCTGTATTGGGTTGCGCATCGTCAAAATTTCCAATGAAGTGTTGGCAAACTGTTTATTGAACCTGAAATTTTTTTGTTCCAACGACGAAGAATAAGAATAAAATAAAAAAGACTAATAAGTGTAATATTATATTTAAATTAAACTTAGTTAATAATATGGACACAAAGTTGATAGTTTTTTTCGACCAAGTAACAGTATTGTAATTCTTCAAAAGAATGAGAATTTTACTCGATCTAAAAAAAAAATGGAAATCCTACAATGGGAAATAAATAACAGAAGAGATAAAAGAGTAATTTCAAGGTTACGTTGAGTATAAAATTATTAATGTATTATCTTATTAATATAGTTTGTTCTAACTACTGTCTATTGGCTGTGAAGTCGACCTTGTTTGACTTTTGGTTGAGCCTTTATTGGGGGCACTCCTTTTGGGACAGCACCGACTATTCGCACCTGGAAAAAAATGTTTTTTTAAGACCATATTTGTGATAAATTATATTTTGAATCAAGATATAAATTATATTATCCATCAGAATAAGATATGTATAACAAAAAGATGTTAGTTTTCAGCACATTAGGTGCACAAAATAAATAGTTTAACCATGTATGCAGAAAGAATTCATCATATTTGAATATATGTATTTATACTTTTAAATTGTTCATATGGTAATGCTGTTAAAAAATCCCTTCTAAGCCTAAGCATTTTATGTTTTTGATAGCATTTAAATAATTTTATTTGTAAATTCTAAAAATTGCATTGGTTCCTTTAATTCATTTTAAAATTTTTGCTTCCTTCCTTTCAATATGAAATTATGTTAAATTGCGTTCAAATTGCAGTTCAACTAATTTAATCCACTTTTAAATAAAAAAGTGTAGGAATAAACAAATGTTCGCTTTGAAAATCGGCTTGTCAGAGTTTTCCGTTTTATTATTTTGTATGATACATTTATTATTTAATAAATAGCGATATATAATTCATAGAGTTTCTCCAAAAATAATGCAATATTTTAATTCTTGAAATTGTCAAAAAGAAGAATAAATATTAACAAAATATTGAATTAATATTTTTTCTTAACCCTCGGTCTGGACGATTAGCATTAAGAATTTGGCGTACTCCTGCTGATACTATATACCTTTTTCATATTTTATTATGAAAATTTGACTGAATAGATTTTGATCTATTTATAGTCTGTTAAGTGCTGCTAATAATCTCTCATATCACCAAGAAGACATTTCCATAAATTTAAGGTTTTTATTGTAACAGTTTTATTGCAGGCAATAATTAACAGATATTTACATTTTAATTATTTAATATGCTTTTAGACCTTTAATATTTTATCTTTATCGGTTGCAGTTAATTACTTTCAGATGATAAATGGTCAATATTTCAAGACATGCAATTATTGTAAAGATTATTATTAATGGACGTATTTGATTCTACTATTAAAATTTCGTATTAATTATATTTTGAATTTAATTAATTAGTCACAAAACATCCAAATACGTTTTCATATTTTTTGGACGATTGGAAATCCTTTTGAATTGAAAAATAAATAAAATGTTAGGTTTCTGTATTATTGGTGCATTAAGAGTGGCTCTTACCCTGGTAACTTGTCGGCTGTCGCTAAATTGAGGAGGAGGCGCAACAACAAGTTCTTCAGCTGAGAGTAACGCAGCTTGAGTTTCATTGAATTCTGGAGGCGGCGGCAAACAGAATTCCTCTTTCTCGTCGTTTTCGTTCTCGATCGGGGGCGGCAATTGGGCCAAAGACACGGCGTGTCTTTTTAGAAGACCTGAACAGGAAAATGTGCATGCACTTTTTGGGACGAAAAAGAAATTATAAAAACTTACTGGCTTGTGGCCTTTGCGTTTTAGCAGATGAATCTGTGCTTGGGTGATATTCAGAGCTGGACACGGTCGTAATTTCTTGATCAGAGCTAACGCCCGAGGAACTGTTATCACCATCTTCAACTACTTCCATCTTTTCGCTGCCCTCACTTTGCTTTTTAAAGAAATCGTCCGGGTAGGACTTGGACGATTTCAGTTGCAGCCTGGTTTTCTGGATCTCTTCCACACTAAAGCTGTGAGCTACCGAATTACTTCCAGAACTACTACCACTGAAACAGTTGAAGTGACTTTCCGGGAAAACTATCCAACTGGTTATTTAATACCTTGTATTACTATTGCCGCTATTTTCTACTGGCTGCAATTGTACGGAAGATAATCTGGATGCCAATCCAGTAACATCCCTGGGCTCAACATCACTCTCCACTTCGGAATCAGTACAACTGTAATCGGGCTCCGGAGTGATCGGAGGACCAGTGTAGCTTAGCTGAACTATATTCGAGGCTGATTTGCTAGTGGGGATTTTTTTTCGCTTTGCTCTGTTACTGGCTGATGAATTACACCTACTGGAGAAACGTTTGTAATTTTTTCAAAAATTCCGGAATTCAAGTGAAGAAGTGAATTGTTTAAAACCAGTTTAGATACATGAATATTTAGATTATTACCTTGACGTCCTAAAGGGTTGAGCATACGGATTTGTCTGGCACTGGTTCTTCAAGGTGGAAGCAGAACTACCAGGTGTATTGGCCGAGTGAATTTCAGTAGTCGACTGCTTCATACTATGAGATTTCCTTAGAATGGGCCTTGATTCTGGAGATGCCATGGTCATTGTTCGATATAGAACACTTTGAATACCATTAGGTGAAGCGTACAGCTTGGCACTTGCCGATGGGTTAAAAGAAGAAGCGATACCTGCAAGAATCAACTGTATTAGGAAATGTCTGAGTAAACTTCCAAATACTTTATTCTGATTTATTTTTCTGACTGCGTGTACTTGTCAAGTCAAAGTGTGAAGTACACATTTTTGAACATCGTTTATTTCATTACGTTTCGGCGAGACAACGTAATTCTCGTGGGGTAATCAACGTAACAACGTTGATTTTTACGAATCATGAGTTTGTGTAAATTTTAAATCTGACGCCGTTGTCTCGCCGAAACGTAATGAAATAAACGATGTACAAAATTTTTACTTCACACTTTGACTGAGTCCCAGGAAAGATAAGAATATCATAACTTCCAAATACTCAAATAATAAACAAAACAATAGACACTCAATAAACAATCTACAATAGATAAATTAATGATAAAATTAAGATTATTTCGTAAAACTGCAGCTCGCTAGTGAAGGAATTTGTTGCAAATAATACAAACTTACTGTCTGGTGGCATATCTCTTTGTAGGCTGTCTGACTTGGGCCTGGGAATTTCGAATTTGAGTACGTGAACTTGAGGAGGTGGTGGAGGTGGATGGTTGGGCGGAGGAAGATTTCGGTTCATTCCCACTGAAGTGAATAAATTCTCTTGACTTCGATGGCCTTTCCTATTCGGTAACGTTTGAGAATTCAGGCATGCCAGTTCCTGAGCGAGATCCGGAGTGCTGTGAAAGTTCCGCCGAAGTTCCTGGCCGCCAAAGATATCCATAAATCTTCCTTTGCCCTAGAATTATGCAATATTAGAACCGATGCCCGCTTGAAAAACTGGGAGATTGTCGTACTTTCGAACGATTACGTTTCATTTCGGCAACACTGGCATACACTCGGCCTTTTCCAGGCGAACCCATGGTTCCATATTTATTAATACTACTGCGATTTGTACTATCGAGATCCTGATGCTTATGGAACACGTCTTCGATAGCATTATGCGAAATTCTGGTTGATGTGGGCCTTTGTCGAACTGATGCGGTTCTGGGTTGAACAGAAGTCGAACTTCCAGTTCCAGATGGTGTTATCGATTCGGCAGAGCTGGATTTTGTAATATCAGTCTCATCTCCTCCTGCAAAACATACTTTTACTACATTGTCTAAAGGTCATATAGGTACATATAAATTTGGGGATAAGAGATTCTCTTTTAATTCCATAGAATGTAAAAATCAGCTACGATCTTTTTGCAAAGCACACATTTCCCAGGACACCACCACGTTCATAAAACTGAACTAACATTTCCTTTTTATAGATGTTTATTTTAGGAACCAACATTTTGTAAGCAATTAAAAATTTCAAGCAATTGATCGAACCGAAACGAGAATGCAGAATCGATAAATGAGCTCGTATTGAATGGGTTGGACCGACACAATGGAACACGTCGAAACATGATTAATTTCGCATTTGAACATGTTGCAACATTATACAACTTTTAATTTTCCCTGTCTGTTAAGTTTGTTAGCAAACTAAGGCTATGTAAAAAGAATAATATATGATTTGTAGACATTTTTCTCTAGTGAATATATTTTATAATTTTTGCTGATTAAAGTTCATATATCAGAAGCTTATTAATTGTGTTTTTATTTTTTTTATGAACTTTATTGCTGTACTCAACCTTGTTCGAGTTTATGGTTATTTTTATCAAATAAAAAAATAATACAAAATATATTTCTGACACTATTTACTTAATTTAATTGCAGCAAATAAAGATATTGCTTTCACAGCAGAGAAAGAATAAAATATTAAAAGATAAGCATCCGTATACAAGGTGTCTCACGATCAGCGTCCAATAGAATATTTTGGGAAGTAATGCGATTTGAATCCTGCAAATTTGGATAATGGCATTCTCGGATACGCTCTTTTCAGATGAGATAACAGCGACATTATGCGACTTAAGGTTATATGGAACACCCTGTATATTGTTTTTGCTTGTGTTTTTTTTTAACAATAACTTTTATGAAAAGTTTTTTACTGTGCTCTATCCGTTTTTGAGCAAAATACAGTTTTTCTCAAAATCTTATCATTAAGTCTTCGCTTAAAATTGAAGATTTTTCCAAAGAAGAGAGTGAAACTCGAAATCTCAGTTGCAAAATTAGATATTATTGTGCTCGATAATGAATTATCCGAAAGAGAAATTTACATATAGCAACGTGGAAACGATTTTCTTTTTTATTGAAAGACCGCAACAGTCAGTTTAAATTTTCCACAGTTTTTTAAATTTCTTCAATTTTTCGTTATTTTTTCGAAAAACTATACCTGGAAAAATTAATTTTTTCAAACTTTTTGGTATTTTTCTCAAAATGCATTCTGAAAGGTTTTTGAAGGATTTTTGATGAAAATTGATTTGTTTCACGGAATTTTGTTTTTGTAAGAATTTTTCGCGTATTTTCCTTAATACTGGCCTCAAATGGAAATTTGAAATTCAGCAGAAAAAGCAACATAATATCAATGTTAACAATATTCCAGAGCATTTAAGGTCGAAAACCCGAATTAAAAAAATATACATTTTTTTGCTGTCGACGTTCGTCTCTTCATAACTCTCTTCATCTGGGCCCCATTTGGATCATTAAAACTGGGTTGTAAAGAGCACAATCTTCTGTAAAACCGGTTTTTTAGGCAATTCAAATCGGTTAAGAAACGTAGGACTTATTACGATTTGAACGTCGAGTAAAAAAATGTTTCTATTTTATGCTAGGTGAACTTTATACTAGGTGAACTCACGGTTGAGAAAACTAAACTCGGTTCGAAAATTGTAAAATTATGAGGATTTGATGACCGGATGTCCAATTTATAAGCCAAAAATATTTTGAATTTTCACACTTAATGTAAACACGAGATTCAATTAAATGGCACAAATTATTTAGAATTATGCAAACTTTAGATGTATTTGAAAGCTAATAATGCATTTTTGGAGAAGAAAATCGGAACATTTTATTGAAAATTGTACGCAAGTCGCAAACCTGAATTTTTGGGAAATAAAATATTTGCGCTCGCTTACTTAAAAATTAAGATCTGCCAGACTAAAGCAGGCAAGTAGTTGCATCTTTCACCATCTTTAGTAGATACTTGACTCTATAGATGTGAAAAGTTTCATAAAAATCCATCCGAAACCTGATTGTTATCGGCTTTATAAATGTGACACAGTCGCATAACGTCGCTGTTAGTTCATCTGAAAAGAGCGGCAAATCGCACTTCTTCCCGAAATATTCTAATGGATGCTGACCGTGAGACACCCTGTATAGAAGCTTATTTTGTATACCTATAAATTTCTAGTATAAATGCTATGAAACTGAAAGGTTTGTAAAAGAGGCCTAACAGCGCATACATGTTAATTATTATAATAAAAACACTTACGTAAGAAACAACCAAACTCAGAGCGAGTAGAAATATGATAATAGCTAAGAATTTATCCTAAAGTCCAATTAATTTTACTGAAAAACTATATTTTACAAAGCGTTAAGAAAAGTGACATTAAATTAGAATGCTAATTCGATGAAAAAGCAAGTGGCATATTTTTGTTTTTCAAATTTTCTTCAAGTGTCCTTTATATCAAATTTTAATTTTCAAAATAACAACTGTTTGCTATCTTAAAAATTCAGTTAGACCTTGAACTCTTGAAGCGGGCAGACATTCCATAAATTGGAATTCGAAAAAAACAGAAAAAAATTACACTGTAGAAGAGGAAAATAACATAATACAAATAAACAGAGCAATTGAGAGACTAAATATGCACATCTATTAGATGATATTGAAGTTTTTACATACCTAAACCCGCTACTAAACTTTTGGCTCTGGCTCTGCCAATACTTAGAGTGGTTTTAGGATCTCTCCTAGGTGGTAGCGGAGCTTGAGTCGGTCGGCTCATGTTACCCGTTACTCCTCCCAATTTTCGAGGTAGAGTTGAAAACTGTCTGGAACCAGGATTGTCTGGAAAATCTCCTCCCGGTAGATTCGTGGATCTGCTGATGTGCATTGCGCTTTGGGCTGTAGGCGGATCCCAGGTAATAACCTAGGAATAATGTCCCATGTAGAGTAGATTTAATTTTACACAAAAAAGGATGAAAGTAATTAACACGGAAATTGTGGTTGATAAGATCCACGCCACAAAACGGTTTTTTCCATCAAGTGTTTTAACAACAACTGGAAGTAAAGTTAGAATAAAATATTGTTTGCCTTTTTTAAAACAAGTGTAGTATTATTAAAAATTCCCGGTTTTTTGTTATGGGGTTGGACAATAAAAACATGCTTTTGCCAACAACAATTATTTATGGTTCTAATGAGACATGAATAATTAACTAACTGAAACTAAGATAATTTCAATAAATATATTTTTTAATAAGTTAACCATAAGCCGTTTTAAAGCTCTACTTACCGTCATCTGAACTAGGTTTCCAGATTTTCTTATCAAATCGACCACGTGCTCGTGAGAGGCCGATGATACATCTTCATTGCTAATTTTAAGTAGAAAATCTCCTTTTTTTAGTCCCGCCATGTCTGCCACGCCACCTGTAGTAAAACATTTTCCATATAGCAAATAAACATAAAAAAATTGTTTTCCTTCTTCTCTTTCTTAAAAAGTTCGTGTTAAATTTGTAAGATGATGCATGTTTTATTTATTACATTACTCTTACTAAATTATGAAGTCCGAATTTAAATAACATACGTTTTAAAATGGCAGAAATTGAACACTTCGATTGTTATACCAATTTTATCAGGCAATAATTATGAATATAGTTGGTGCAAGTGAAATAAAAAAGCAGAGCTTCTTTATTTAAAAAAATCAATAATTAGTCAGCAACGCTGTATATTTTATTATCTTAGAATTGGATAAGTAAATACAAAATTGCGTGATTTTTGGAAGGGTGTTTCAGATGCGTATGCAAACAGTATATAGAGCATTTCAAAAAACATGCAAATCTCGGTTTATAAAGAACCGATATATAAATAAATATGAAATGCAGGGTGTTCAAACTTCAAGATATCTGACTTTCAAATCAAAGAGCTTATTAAGATTTTCGACTTATTGCATTTCGATTTATTTGTAGACAATGTAAGAAAAATATATTTCTTACATTTAACATACGTCTTTACGCATAACACACTTTAACTTCTAAACATTTTTTTCAGTTTTTCTTCTAACAATACGTATAAATAACCATAGATCGAGAAATAATGCGATCATAACTAGATTTTCAATTTGAATCTCGATTTTCGAGAATAAATTTATTATCTATTTATTTTCATACATTTTTGAAAATCCAAAACTATTTTTTTAAGGAAAGTTGCTATTTTCTTGAACATATTAATGTGGGGGAAGTGTTGTGACAAATTTTGTCATGATTTGAGCAACGGAAGGAAGAAAAGTAAACTCTTACTGGAAGTAAAGATTATTTAATAAAATATTTGTTTCAATTTACCTGGCTCAACATCGTCTAAATACTGAAGAGAAGGACATTTTTCTGATGGTGTCATTTCCATTAAGGGTGACATTGCTTTAGCACCACGTAGAATAAAACCGAATCCTTTACGGCCCTTATGTAAAACCACAGTACGCGGTTCCAGACTTAATGATAAGTATCTGAAATTAAATAAATTTGACTTTAGACAATTTCTATTAATACAGTATGTATTCCTTGACTAAAAAAATGTATAAACTAACAGAATTGTAGAAACAATTTTTTTAAAGTTATTTTTACTATTTCTCTTCTATCATGTCTTTATTATTATCTTTCCTCTTCTTCAATTTATGAAAGGATTGGTCTTTTGGATTAAACTTTGTTAAAAATTCGTAGATTTTTATTAAAATTTCATTAAATATTTACTTATATTCTAACTAAATTATTAGATCAATCGAGGTGAAATTTGACTAAAACTTCCCAAACTATTTTTGAATTTGCCAAATAAAAAATAGTGAAAACTTACGGTTTCTTTGCTCTAGGTGCAGTTGCAAACTGTTTGGTTGTGCTTTCTCTTCGTCCAACAACTCGCCCGCCTGGCTGAGACGACACTGGCATCCGAGCATCCCGTGCTATCATCATTGGAGCCTGGATTGTGTGTCTCAGCTTAACTTCTTGAACACAATGAGCTGGAAATAAGCCATTGCGATTTCCCGAACTTCTCACATTGCCTTCCAGGTAGCCATCATCAGTTGCTCCCGTGACTAAACCGAAGAAAAATTGTGCAGTCGTAAATTCTGTTAGAATGTCCCAAAATTGACAAACAGGATTAACTAGAATGGGACTCAATGTGAAATTGCAACCATGAAGTTGCATCAACAGAACGGACAGCCGTGGACAAACATTCGAGAATCCGAATAATAATTAAAAGAAGGCTAAAAGTAAGGTATAGCTTTTGTAAGAATAAACCGATTTTTCAATCAAAATGAGACTCTAATTATCGTGTACACTCAAAACAACTTCGAAACCAGACACTATCGGCAAAGTAATTAGTTATTGATTAATTTACCGAGAATCCACATTTGAGCATCTGAAACCAACGGGATTGTCGGGATATTTTGATCATCATTATTTTATATTTTTCATGAGAAATTCAATATATCTATAGGTTGAGCTATACAGGGTTATTCACGCTATACGGCACGGACGTTTGCGGCTAGCCCGTTTGTTTTTTGCAAAGTATTATTTGATGAATCCACAGACGTCTATCGGGTGCACATTTAAAAAATATTTTTGTAATATACAGAGTGTCCCAAAAGCCCTAAAAGTATCAAAGTTGTGTTTTTCTAAATGAAATACC